AGGGTCAGGGAGGCAGGGTCAGGTGTCAGGGTTAGGAGGCAGGGGTCAGAGGCCAGGAACAGTGTCAGGAGGCAGGGTTAGGAGGCAGGGGGTCAGGAGGGCAGGGTCAGGAGGCCAGGAGGCAGGGTCAGGAGGAAGGGGTTAGGAAGGCCAGGGGTCAGTGACCGGACAGGGCAGGCGGAAGGAGAGCAAATCAAGGGTCGCACGGAGGAACGGGGGAAGGGACTCGGAAGGGCGGAAAGGACGGAGGATCCAGGCAAACGGCGGAAGGACAACGGGAATGGGCGGCCAGGCACTACTCGGCTCTTGATTCCCTGGGCAGGGGTAGGAGGGGCAGGTCAGGAGGCAGGGTTAGGAGGCAGGTGGTCAGGAGGCAGGTTTATAGGAGGCAGGGGTCAGGAGGAAGGGGACAGGAGGATCGGATAGGGGAACGGCGGGCAAGGAAGGATAGGATACGGGAAAGGGGAAGGAGGCGAAGAGGGGTTAAGGACCAGGAAGGGGGAGGAGGGAACGGGGTGAAGGGGTGAAGGGGGGAGGAGGAACGGGGGGAAGGAGGGGCACGGATGGACAGGGTCCAGGACGCAGGGGGCAGGATGGCAGGGGTAGGTATGGCAGGGGTAAGGTTTGTAAGGGTTAGAAGGAGGAAGGGAGTACAGGATAGGAAAGGATGGCCCAGTGGTAAGTGGGCAGGGTCAGGGGGAAGGGGTCAGGGGGCAGGACAGGTCAGGGGGCAGGGCAGGGAGGGGAAGGGGGCTGGGGTCAGGAGGCAGGGGTCAGGGCCAGGGCAGGAGAGGGCAGAGTCAGGAGGCAGGGTAGTCAGCGTGTCAGGAACAGTCGTGGGGAAGGGTAAGGGAAGGGGTAAGAAGGAAGGGGTGTAAAGGGGTAAGGAGAGGATGGAAGGGGCAAGGAGGAAAGGGGTAAGGAGGAAAGGGGAGGGGGAAGGGTAATGGACTTGGTCAGGGGTGGTTAAGGAGAAGGGGGCAAGGTGGAGGGTTAGGAGGCAGGGGTAAGGCTGGTAAGGAGGGCAGGGGGCAGGAGGCAGGGGGCAGGGGGCCAGGGCAGGGGCAGGGGTCAGGAGGCAGGGTTAGGAGGAAGGGGTCAGGAGGCAGGGTTAGAGGTCAGGTCAGAGAGCAGTGGTCAGGAGGGCAGGGGTCCGGAGGCACAGGGTTAGGAGGCAGGCGTCAGGAGGCAGGGGTCAGGGAGGCAGGGTTTAGGAGTCAGGGGTCAGGAGGCAGGGTCAGGAGGGAAGGGGGGTAAGGAGGGAAGGGTTAGGAGGAAGGGGTAAGGAGGAAGGCCGTAATGGACGGTAGGGGCAGGAGGCAGGGGTCCGGGGGCAGGGGCAGGGAAGGGGAAGGGAGGACAGGGTCAGGAGGATAGGGGTAGGAGGCAGGAGGCAGGGTCAGGAGGCCGGAGTCAGGAGGCAGACAGAGTCAGAGGCAGGGTCAGGTGTCAGGAACAGGGGCCAGGAGGGGAGGGTCAGGGGACAGGGTAAGCAGGCAGGGGTCAGGGTCAGGACAGGAGGCAGGGTCAGGGCAGGGTCAGGAGGCAGTGGTCAGGGGTTCAGGAGGCAGGGTAGGATGGCAGGGGTGCAGGGGTAGGGAGGCAGGGCCAGGGGGCCAGGCAGTGTCAGGAGGCAGGGGTCAGGTTGGCAAGGGTCAGGGGACAGGGTTAGGAAGTCAGGGTCAGGAAGGAAGGGGGAAGGAGGCAGGGGGGTCAAGGAGGGTGAGGGTTAGGGTGCAGGGGGGTAAGGTGGAAGGTCAGGGGACAGGGGGAGAGACGGCAGGGTGCAGGAGGCAGTGGTAAGGCAGGGGCAGGGTCAGGTTCAGGGGGCAGGAGGGAGGCAGTGTGCATGGTCAGATGGCAGGGGTCAGGGGACCATGGTCAGGAGCCCCAGGGTCAGGGGACAGGTCAGGGGCAGGGGTCAGGAGCCAGGGGTCAATGAGGCAGGGCTAAGGAGGCAGGAGGCAGGGCAGGAGGCCAGGGTTCAGGAACGGCAGGGGGTTTCAGAGGACAGGGTTGGAGGCAGGGGGGGTCCGAGGCAGGAGGCCAGGGGGGGCAGGGGGGGGCAGGGTCAGGAGGCAGACAGAGTCAGGAGGCAGGGGTCGTCAGTGGGGTGTCCCAGAACAGGGGCAGGAGGCAGAGGACAGGGTCAGGGGGACAGGGTCGCAGGCAGGGTCACGGGGTCAGGATAAGGAGGAAGGGTCAGGAGAGAGGGCAGGGTCAGGAGGCAGGGGTCAGGGGTCAGTCAGATCAGGGGCAGGGTCAGGTGCACGGGTCAGGACGGCAGGGGACAGGGGGTCAGAGAGGCAGGGTTAGGAGTCCAGGGTCAGGAGGCAGGGTCAGGAGGCATGGGGTGGTCAGGAGGCAGGTTAGGGAGGCCAGGGGTCAGAGCAGCGGTGGTCAGGGAAGGCCAAGGGTCAGGAGGGCAGGGGCAGGAGGCAGGAGGCAGGGGTCAGGGAGGCGGACAGGGGTCAGGAGGCCGTGGAGCAAGGGGAAGGGGGACAAGGACCCGGAAGCGGGGAGGATGGAAGGGGCAGGACCGGAATTGGAAGTGAAAGGCCCGGAAGCGAGGACATTTTAGGGCGAGTGAAGGACGGAATGGGGGGAAGGGGAAGGTTAGGAAGGGGAAGCAGGAAGGGTGGCAGGTTAGGCCAGGGGCAGGACAGGCTAATGGGGGAGGAGGAAGAAGGTACAGGGTAAGGAGGAAGGGTAAGGAGAAGGGGGTAAGGAGGCCAGGGGGAAGGCGGAAGGATGGAAGGGGTAAGGATGGAAGGGCGTCAGGAGGAAGGCGGTAGGACGGGAAGTGGTCTGGATGGCAGGGTCAGGAGGGCAGGGAGGATGCAGGAGAGGTCGGAGGCAGGATAAGGAGGCAGGGCAGGAGGCAGGGGTTAGGAGGAGGGTGGTCAGGAGGCCAGGGGTCAGGAGGGCAGGGTCAGGAGGCAGGGTTAGGAGGCGCAGGGTTAGGGTTTTGCTTGCAGTGTCAGGAGGCAGGTTAGGAGGCAGGGTAGGGTGCAGGGTCATGAAAGGCAGGGTCAGCGAGGCAGGGGTAGGAACCCGGGTCAGGAGTCGGCAGGGTCAGGAGGCCAGGGGTCAGGAGGCAGGGTAGGAGGCAGGGGTGGTAGGAAGGTAGGAACAGGGTCAGGAGGCAGGGTTAAGGAGGCAGGGGTCAGGAGGCAGGGGGCACGGAAAAGGGGGGGAAGGAGGCAAGGTGGGAAGGAGGAAGGGGGATGGAGGAAGGGGGGAAGTGATGGAAGGGTGTAAGGAGGCAGGTGGGAAGGGGTAGGAGGAATAGGGAAGGAGGCAGGAGGGAAGTAAGGGGAAGGAAGGATCCACGGAGGAGGAGGGCGCAGGGGAAGGAGGAGAGGGGTAAGGATAGGAGAGGGTTAGGAGAAGGGGGAAGGAGGAGGAGGAAGGGGGCAGGGGTCCCAGGAGCAGGGGGAAGGGAAGGTGTCAGGAGGCAGGGGAGGGGTCAGGAAGGCAGGGTCAGGAAGGAAGGATAGGCAGGGTCAGGAGGCAGGGTTAGGAGGGGTCAGGAGGCAGGGGTCAGGACTGAGGCAGGGTCGGAGGCAGGGGCGGGTCAGGAGGCAGGGGGGGTTTCAGGGAAGGCAGGGGTCAGGAGCAGTTGGTCGGAGGCAGGGTCAGGAGGCAGGGATGCAGGGTCAGGAGGCGGGATAAGGAGGCCAGGGTCAGGAGGAGGTCAGGAGCAGGGTTCAGGAGGCAGGGTTTAGGGTTGATTGGTCAGGAGGCCGGGTCAGGAGGCTTAGGGGATAGGAACAGGGGCCAGGGAAGGCAGGGTCAGGAAGGCTAGGATAGGGAGGAGGATAAGGAGGCAGGGGGCAGGTTCAGGAGGGCAGGGGCAGGAGCAGGGTCAGGAGGAGGGGGCAGGAGGCAGGGTAAGGAGGGGCAGGGAGGCAGGGGCAGGGTCAGGAGGCAGGGTTTAGGGTGCAGGGTCAGGAGGCAGGGTTAGGGTGCAGGGGTCAGGAGGCAGGGTCAGGAGGTAGGGCAGGAGGCAGGGGCAGGAGGCAGGGTCAGGAGGGCAGGGTTCAGGAGGCAGGGTTAGGGTGCAGGGGTCAGGAGGCAGGGTCAGGAGGCAGGGTCAGGAGGCAGGGTCAGGAGGCAGGGGTCAGGAGGCAGGGGGCAGGAGGCAGGGTCAGGAACAGGGGCAGGAGGCGGGTAAGGAGGCGGGGTCAGGAGAGCAACAGCATTTTGAAGCACCAATTAATCTTTTTCTCCCTATCTCCATCCTGTAGGAATGTGACAAGTCTAATAGTGGCCACCTGGCTGGTGAGGAGATAGAGCATTTCTACAACCTTTTGACCCATCGCCAGGAAATAGACACGATCTACGGAGAATACGCCAAGACCACGGGCTTCATGAGCGCTGAAAATCTACTGGAGTTCCTGATTAAAGAGCAGAGAGAGGATGCGACGCTAGCCGACGCACACAGACTCATCAACAAGTACGAACTGGATGATGAAGGTGATTACCATTTGTTCTTCGGGAATGACTATGTTGACTTTAGTTACTATGCCTTCACAACAACTTATAAGAGCGTTCATAAAGTCTTCATAAGCCCTACACACAGTAGATGTTTCACAAATCATTTATAAGAAAAATCCTACTAAACACAGCGTTCCCTGTAGGGTGAGTCTGGGCAGCTCTCAAATGACAGATGGGAGCTGTCCAAATCATTTCAAACAGTTCAGAATTAACTTTCTATTCGATAGCGAGACTTCTGTTCATTTGAATTCTCACCAGTCTATCTTAGTAGTTAGAGTCTGACATCTGTCTGGTCTCTCTGCAGTCAAAGAGAAGCAGCTGATGACCCAAGATGGTTTCCTGATGTATCTCCACATGCCCGAGGGTCTGGTTCTTAATCCTACCCATAAGGCCGTGCACCAGGACATGAGCCAGCCCCTGAACCACTACTTCATTCTCCTCGTCTCACAACACATACCTGATGGAAGACCAGCTCAAAGGGCCCAGCAATACTGAGGCCTATGTCAGGTATGAATGGCAGACATCATCTAGGGCAGTGTTTCTCAAACCTCTCCTGGAGTAACCCCATCTAGTTCCACTTATTTGATCCATTCTGGTATTAGCACGCTTCATTCAATTGGTCTGGAGCAAGTTTTAATAGCTTCTATTCTCATGGAAGACTCTGGGGACATTTAAGAACCTTAACGTGTCAGTGTCTGCCTGTGAATGAGTTTAACGTTTAAAAAACCTTAACGTGACTGCCTGTGAATGAGTTTAACGTTTAAAAAACCTTAACGTGTCAGTGTCTGCCTGTGAATGAGTTTAACATTTAAAAACCTTAACGTGTCTGCCTGTGAATGAGTTTAACGTTTAGAACCTTACGGGTTAGAAACCTTAGTGTCAGTGTCTGCCTGTGAATGAGTTTAACGTTTAAAAACCTTAACGTGTCAGTTGTCTGCCTGTGAATGGTTTAACGTTTAAAAACCTTAACGTGTCAGTGTCTGCCTGTGAATGAGTTTAACGTTTTAAAAACCTTAACGTGTCAGTTTCTGCCTGTGAATGAGTTTAACGTTTAAAAACCTTAACGTGTCAGTGTCTGCCTGTGAATGAGTTTAACGTTTAAAAACCTTAACGTGTCAGTGTCTGCCTGTGAATGAGTTTTAACGTTTAAAAACCTTAACGTGTCAGTGTCTGCCTGTGAATGAGTTTTTAACGTTTTTAAAAACCTTAACGTGTCAGTGTCTGCCTGTGAATGAGTTTTAACGTTTTTAAAAACCTTAACGTGTCAGTGTCTGCCTGTGAATGAGTTTAACGTTTTAAAAACCTAACGTGTCAGTGTCTGCCTGTGAATGAGTTTAACGTTTAAAAACCTTAACGTGTCAGTGTCTGCCTGTGAATGAGTCAAGTCAGGACATGTTGTTAAACAGTTATGACTCTTCGTAGGGCTCTTATAAAACAGTTATGACCCTTCGTAGAGCTCTTTTAAAACAGTTATAACCCTTCGTAGGGCTCTTTTAAAGGGCTGTCGCTGTGTGGAGCTGGACTGCTGGGACGGGTCAGACGGAGAGCCAGTCATCTACCATGGCTACACCCTCACCTCCAAGATCCTCTTTAAAGACACCATCAAAGCCATCAAGGAGTACGCCTTTAAGGTAGGAAAGGAGTTCCATGTCAACTTTGTAGAATTGTGTGTCTGTCCTGTCATGTTTAATTCATATCATGCTTGATGACACAGATTTCCTTTTTTGCAATGGATTAATTACAGACGGTCATCATCCTCATCGACAGAGACCCAAAAGGCTCGGCCTGGCCCTTTGTCAAATACTTGAGCTGCACTTTTATTTTGTTTACCCAGTACAATGGAATCAAAGGAATACTCCCAAAAGTGTAAACATGCGAAATCAAGCGCCCTACTGTATTTGACTGTCTCTGTCCTCAGACCTCCGACTACCCAGTGATCCTGTCCTTGGAGAATCACTGTAGTGTGGAGCAGCAGAGGGTCATGGCCCAGCACATGAGCTCCATCCTGGGCAGCGCTCTGCTCATCTCCCCCCTGGGGGCCCAGATGCCCACACACTTCCCCTCCCCAGAGGTGAGTTGGCTATAGTCTCTACTCTACTGTTTTATATAAGAGTCACTGTCTGCATGTACAGTGGGGGAAAAAAAGTATTTAGTCAGTCACCAATTGTGCAAGTTCTCCCACTTAAAAAGATGAGAGAGGCCTGTAATTTTCATCATAGGTACACGTCAACTATGACAGACAAATCTAGAATTTTTTTCTCCGGAAAATCACATTGTAGGATTTTTAATGAATTTATTTGCAAATTATGGTGGAAAATAAGTATTTGGTCACCTACAAACAAGCAAGATTTCTGGCTCTCACAGACCTGTAACTTCTTCTTTAAGAGGCTCCTCTGTCCTCCACTCGTTACCTGTATTAATGGCACCTGTTTGAACTTGTTATCAGTATAAAAGACACCTGTCCACAACCTCAAATAGTCACACTCCAAAACTCCACTATGGCCAAGACCAAAGAGCTGTCAAAGGACACCAGAAAACAAAATTGTAGACCTACACCAGGCTGGGAAGACTGAATCTGCAATAGGTAAGCAGCTTGGTTTGAAGAAATCAACTGTGGGAGCAATTATTAGGAAATGGAAGACATACAAGACCACTGATAATCTCCCTCGATCTGGGGCTCCACGCAAGATCTCACCCCGTGGGGTCAAAATGATCACAAGAACGGTGAGCAAAAATCCCAGAACCACACGGGGGGACCTAGTGAATGACCTGCAGAGAGCTGGGACCAAAGTAACAAAGCCTACCATCAGTAACACACTACGCCACCAGGGACTCAAATCCTGCAGTGCAGACGTGTCCCCCTGCTTAAGCCAGTACATGTCCAGGCCCGTCTGAAGTTTGCTAGAGTGCATTTGGATGATCCAGAAGAGGATTGGGAGAATGTCATATGGTCAGATGAAACCAAAATAGAACAAAGAATGCTGAGTTGCATCCAAAGAACACCATACCTACTGTGAAGCATGGGGGTGGAAACATCATGCTTTGGGGCTGTTTTTCTGCAAAGGGACCAGGACGACTGATCCATGTAAAGGAAAGAATGAATGGGGCCATGTATCGTGAGATTTTGAGTGAAAACCTCCTTCCATCAGCAAGGGCATTGAAGATGAAACATGGCTGGGTCTTTCAGCATGACAATGATCCCAAACACACCGCCCGGGCAACGAAGGAGTGGCTTCGTAAGAAGCGTTTCAAGGTCCTGGAGTGGCCTAGCCAGTTTCCAGATCTCAACCCCATAGAAAATCTTTGGAGGGAGTTGAAAGTCCGTGTTGCCCAGCGACAGCCCCAAAACATCACTGCTCTAGAGGAGATCTGCATGGAGGAATGGGCCAAAATACCAGCAACAGTGTGTGAAAACCTTGTGAAGACTTACAGAAAAACGTTTGACCTGTGTCATTGCCAACAAAGGGTATATAACAAAGTATTGAGAAACTTTTGTTATTGACCAAATACTTATTTTCCACCATAATATGCAAATAAATTCATTAAAAATCCTACAATGTGATTTTCTGGATTTTTTTTCCTCATTTTGTCTGTCATAGTTGACGTGTACCTATGATGAAAATTACAGGCCTCTCTCATCTTTTTAAGTGGGAGAACTTTCACAATTGGTGGCTGACTAAATACTATTTTTCCCCACTGTATGTTTGGCTACATGTGTATGATATGTGGAATTCTCACTGTTCCCTCTTTTGACAACACGTGCTAGATTTACTTCCCTCTGTTTTATGAGCCTAGTGCTTCCTAGGACCAGGAGCATTTCCTGTCCAGGAATGTCTCTAGTCCCTAGTCAGGAAGAACTTTAAAATATACACTGAGTATACAAAACATCATGAACACCTTCTCTTTCCATGACATAGACTGACCAGGTGAATCCAGGTGAAAGCTATGATCCCTTATTGATGTCACTTGTTAAATCCACTTCAATCAGTGTAGATGAAGGGGAGGAGACAGGTTAAATAAGGATTTTTAAGCCTTGAGACATGGATTGTGTGTGTGTGCCATTCAGAGGGTGAATGGGCAAGACAAAATATTTAAGTGCCTTTGAACGGGGTATGGTAGTAGGTGCCAGGCGCACCGGTTTGTGTCAAGAACTGCAACACTGTTGGGTTTTTCTCACTCAACGTTTGTTTCAAGAATGATCCACCACCCATTGGACATCCAGCCAACTTGACACAACTGTGGGAAGCATTGGAGTCAACATGGGCCAGCATCCTTGTGGAACGCTTTCGACACTAACAAATTGAGGCTGTTCTGAGGACAAAAAGGGAGGGGTGCAACTCAATATTAGGAAGGTGTCCTAATGTTTAGTATACAGAACATACGGGGGGGGTGCAACTCAATATTAGGAAGGTGTCCTAATGTTTAGTATACAGAACATACAGGGGGGGGGGGGGTGCAACTCAATATTAGGAAGGTGTCCTAATGTTTAGTATACAGAACATACAGGGGGGGGGGGGGGGGGATGTCCTAATGTTTAGTAAACTCAGTGTATATATTTTTATTGCATCACATTATCAGAGGATTTGTGAACTGACACATTAAGAGAGACACATTTGAAAGTAGGCCAACTACTACATTTCTGCATGTCACATTCATCAGGAGCTGAAGGGGAGGTTCCTGGTCAAAGGGAAGAGGTTAACTAAACTGGAGGCCTGCTTTGGCCCTGAGGCGACAGCCGTGGATGATGGTAGCTTCACTGAGGAGGAGGACGACGAAAAGGAGGAGGAGGAAGAGGAGAAGAAGGCCAAGGTAGGGGAAGAGGAGCCAAACCTACTATGACACTCCAATAGTATCATTGTGACGCCCCCCCCCCCCCCCCCCCCCCCCCCCCCCCCCCGTCTTCTATACCATTTAACTATCTTGCAACATACAGTATATGTTCTATATGTTCTATATGTTCTGTATGTTCTATATGTTCTGTATGTTCTATGTTCTGTGTGTTCTATGTTCTGTATGTTCTGTATGTTCTATATGTTCTATATGTTCTGTATGTTCTATGTTCTATATGTTCTATATGTTCTATATGTTCTGTATGTTCTATGTTCTGTGTGTTCTATGTTCTGTATGTTCTGTATGTTCTATATGTTCTGTATGTTCTATATGTTCTGTATGTTCTATATGTTCTATATGTTCTATGTTCTATATGTTCTGTATGTTCTATATAATAATAATAATAATAATATGCCATTTAGCAGACGCTTTTATCCAAAGCGACTTACAGTCATGCCTGCATACATTTTTTTTTTTTTTTGTGTATGTTCTGTGTTCTGTATGTTCTGTATGTTCTATGTTCTATATGTTCTGTATGTTCTATATGTTCTGTATGTTCTATGTTCTATATGTTCTGTATGTTCTGTATGTTCTATGTTCTATATGTTCTGTATGTTCTATATGTTCTGTATGTTCTATATGTTCTGTATGTTCTATGTTCTGTGTGTTCTATGTTCTGTATGTTCTGTATGTTCTATATGTTCTATATGTTCTGTATGTTCTATATGTTCTATATGTTCTATATGTTCTATATGTTCTGTATGTTCTATGTTCTATATGTTCTGTATGTTCTATATGTTCTGTATGTTCTATATGTTCTATGTTCTATATGTTCTGTATGTTCTATATGTTCTGTATGTTCTATGTTCTATATGTTCTGTATGTTCTATATGTTCTGTATGTTCTATGTTCTATATGTTCTGTATGTTCTATATGTTCTGTATGTTCTATGTTCTATATGTTCTGTATGTTCTATATGTTCTGTATGTTCTATATGTTCTATATGTTCTATATGTTCTATGTTCTATATGTTCTGTATGTTCTATATGTTCTGTATGTTCTATATGTTCTATGTTCTATATGTTCTGTATGTTCTATATATTCTGTATGTTCTATATGTTCTGTATGTTCTATATATTCTGTATGTTCTATATATTCTGTATGTGCTGTATGTTCATTCTGTATGTTTTATATGTTCTGTATGTTCTATATATTCTGTATGTTCTATATGTTCTATATGTTTCTGCCTACCTGTTTTAAATGGGTAAAATCGCATTTCTGTGGACAATAAATGCTTATCTGCTGCACAGTACTGGAATACCATTCTGCCCAACCCACTGTACCGTAGAGCTGAAGTGTGTCTGAAGTGTGAGTGTCTGTAGGAAGGTGAAAAGCTGAAGCTGGCGAAGGAGCTGTCAGACATGGTGATCTACTGTAAGAGCGTCCATTTCAACGGCTTCCAGGACGCTAAAGACAACCTGGGCTTCTACGAGATGTCCTCCTTCAAGGAAAGGAAAGCTATGACGCTGGCTGTGGAGTCTGGTGAGCAAGACCACATGTTAACTGAAGCAGGGGTGTAGTGGGGGGTAAACAAACACCTATCGCTACCTAAAGCTACCTATCGCTACCTAAAGCTACCTTAAGCTACCTATCGCTACCTAAAGCTACCTATCGCTACCTATCGCTACCTAAAGCTACCTAAAGCTACCTATCGCTACCTATCGCTACCTAAAGCTACCTATCGCTACCTAAAGCTACCTATCGCTACCTATCGCTACCTAAAGCTACCTATCGCTACCTAAAGCTACCTAAAGCTACCTATCATGGAAAATGTTTAACAAATATAGGGAGTGTTATTTTATTCACCACGAACGGCGATCAGTTTATCCACCCTTTTTCTTACCACTACGTCACTGCTGTGAAGGTTTTTACCACTATGTCACTGCTGTGAAGGTTTTTACCACTACGTCACTGCTGTGAATGTTTTTACCACTACGTCACTGCTGTGAAAGTTCTTACCACTATGTCACTGCTGTGAAGGTTTTTACCACTACGTCACTGCTGTGAAGGTTCTTACCACTATGTCACTGCTGTGAAGGTTCTTACCACTACGTCACTGCTGTGAAGGTTCTTACCACTACGTCACTGCTGTGAAGGTCATGATTGTAGACTGTATGGTATCTGCATCAGTTCTGTCTCTTTTTGTGGGTTTTATTGAAACTTTATTGAACTTGTGGACAAAGCTAGTACACAAAACTTATTGTTAATAGTTTCTCATCACACTCCAGTAAGAATATGAGAATGACGTTGTTCTGGAATTTCTGTATAGCTAAGTGACATCTCTCTCTCTCTTTGTTCACTCTCTCTCTCTCTTTTTGTTCTCTCTCGCTTTTTGTTCTTGGTCTCATTTTGTTCTCTTTCTCACTCTCTCTTTTTGTTCTCTCTCTCTTTGTCCTTTCTCTCTGTTTGTTCTCTCTCTCTCTGTTCTGTCTCTCTGTTTGTTCTCTCTCTCTTTGTTCTGTCTCTCTGTTTGCTCTCTCTCTCTCTCTCTCTCTGTTCTGTCTCTCTCTCTCTCTTTGTTCTCTCTCTTTGTCTTGCTCCAGCCAACAGCTACATCCATCACAACGTGGACAAGCTGAGTCGTATCTATCCAGCAGGCAGCAGAACAGACTCCTCAAACTATCAACCCTGTACCCCTGTGGAACGCAGGCTGTCAGCTCGGTAAGACTTTCTAAAGGAAGAAGGGGCAAGGGCTAGACGGAATGTTTTCATATGGTAAATTGGGCTGTGGTATAATTCTCCTCATTGACGTTGGCCACTTGTACATTTTTTTTTTTTTTTTTTTTTTTTTTGTCATTTAGCAGACGCTCTATCTCCAGACCGCGACTTACAGGAGCAATTAGGGTTAAGTGCCCTTGCCTCAAGGGCACATCGACAGATTTTTCACCTAGTCGGCCTCGGGGATTAGAACCAGCGGACCTTTCGGTTACTGGCACAACGCTCTTACCCACTAAGGCTACCTGCCGCCCCTTGGGCGGCAGGTAGCCTAGCGGTTAAGAGCGTTGGGCCAGTAACTGAAAGGTTGCTGGTTTGAATCGCCGATGCAGACTCGCTGAAAAATCTGCCGATGTGCCCTTGAGCAAGGCATCCTGGATAACAGCATCTGCCAAATGACTGAAATGTAAATGTACACTCCCCCTCATGGATTTAAAAGGAATGGACTGGAGTGAGGAATCCATGAGGAGTGAGCATTCTAGAAGGGTAAGGATTCTCCCCACAACCGTTATCTCCTCTCCTCCCGTCAGTGACCCTGAACTTCCAGACGTCCTGTAATCACATGGATGTGAACCAGGGTCGGTTCCTGACCAATGGAAAGACAGGATACATCCTGAAGCCGGCCTACATGAGGGACCGGGGGTCAGAGTTTGACCCCATCACTCTGAGCAGGGGATCGTGGCAGCAGCACAAGACGCTCCACCTCATGGTCAGACTCATTCATTCTCTGGCTTGTTGGTTATACAGTTGAAGTCGGAAGTTTACATACACATAGGTTGGAGTCATTAAAACTCGTTTTTCAACCACTCCACACATTTCTTGTTAACAAACTATAGTTTTGGCAAGTCGGTGCATGACACAAGTACATTTTTCCAACAATTGTTTACAGACAGATTATTTCACTTATAATTCACTGTATCACAATTCCAGTGGGTCAGAAGTTTACATACACTAAGTTGACTGTGCCTTTAAACAGCTTGGAAAATTCCAGAAAATGATGTCATGGCTTTAGAAGCTTCTGATAGGCTAATTGACATCATTTGAGTAAATTGGAGGTGTACCTGTGGATATATTTCAAGGCCTACCTTCAAACTCAGTGCCTCTTTGCTTGACATCATGGGACAATCTAAAGAAATCAGCCAAGACCTCAGAAAAACAATTATAGACCTCCACAAGTCTGGTTCATCCTTGGGAGCAATTTCCAAATGCCTGAAGGTACCACATTCATCTGTACAAACAATAGTACGCAAGTATAAACACCATGGGACCACGCAGCCATCATACCGCTCAGGAAGGAGACGCATTCTGTCTCCTAGAGATGAATGTACTTTGGGGTGAAAAGTGCAAATCAATCCCAGAACAACAACAAAGGACCTTGTGAAGATGCTGGAGGAAACAGGTACAAAAGTATCTATATCCACAGTAAAACGAGTCCTATATTGACATAACCTGAAAGGCCGCTCAGCAAGGATGAAGCCACTGCTCCAAAACCGCCATAAAAAAGCCAGACTACGGTTTGCAACTGCACATGGGGACAAAGATCGTACTTTTTGGAGAAATGTCCTCTGATCTGATTAAACAAAAATATAACTGTTTGGCCATAATGACCATCGTTATGTTTGGAGGAAAAGGGGGACGCTTGCAAGCCGAAGAACACCATCCCAACGTGAAGCACGGGGGTGGCAGCATCATGCTGTGGGGGTGCTTTGCTGCAGGAGGGACTGGTGCACTTCACAAAATAGATGGCATCATGAGGAAGGAAAATGATGTGGATATATTGAAGCAACATCTCAAGACCTCAGTCAGGAAGTTAAAGCTTGGTCGCAAATGGGTCTTCCAAATGGACAATGACCCCAAGCATACTTCCAAAGTTGTGGCAAAATGGCTTAAGGACAACAGTCAAGGTATTGGAGTGGCCATCGCAAAGCCCTGACCTCAATCCTATAGAAAATGTGTAGGCAGAACTGAAAAAGCGTGTGCGAGCAAGGAGGCCTACAAACCTGACTCAGTTACACCAGCTCTGTCAGGAGGAATGGGCCAAAATTCACCCAACTTATTATGGGAAGCTTGTGGAAGGCTACCTGAAACGTTTGACCCAAGTTAAACAATTTAAAGGCAATGCTACCAAATACTAATTGAGTGTATGTAAACTTCTGACCCACTGGGAATGTGATGAAAGAAATAAAAGCTGAAATAAATAATTCTCTCTACAATTATTCTGATATTTCACATTCTTAAAATAAAGTGGTGATCCTAACTGACCGAAGAGAGGGAATTTTTACTAGGATTAAACGTCAGGAATTGTGAAAAACTGAGTTTAAATGTATGTAAACTTCCGACTTCAACTGTAGCTTGTTTTCCCTTTGTTATTCCCAGATCATCTCAGCCCAGCAGCTTCCGAAAGTCAACCAGAAGAAGACATCCATCGTGGACGCGCTGGTCAGAGTGGAGATACATGGGGTGCCGGCTGACACGGCAGAGAAAGAGACGCCATACATCGAGAACAATGGTACGAGAATTCACACACCCAAGTGCTTGGCAGTGACACTGTTCTGACCTTCTGAATTCAACAAAGCTCTTAACTAGCAGATGTACAGTATACGACAATGTGTAACCTATTGCTTTCTTGCCTTTGGACTACCCAGGTTTTAACCCGATGTGGAATGAAAACTTTAAGTTTGACGTGCACGTGCCAGAGCTGGCCCTGGTCCGCTTTGTGGTCGAGGACTACGACTCTTTTACTGATAATGACTTCGTCGGACAGTTCACCCTGCCGTTCACCAGTTTACAGATGGGTAAGTTAGCAGTCATACCCTGCCATTCAATCGTTTACAGATTAGTTAGTAGCCATACCCTGCCATTCACTAGTTTATAGATTAGTTAGTAGTCATACCCTGCCATTCACTAGTTTATAGATTAGTTAGTAGTCATACCCTGCCATTCACTAGTTTATAGATTAGTTAGTAGTCATACCCTGCCATTCACTAGTTTATAGATTAGTTAGTAGTCATACCCTGCCATTCACTAGTTTATAGATTAGTTAGTAGTCATACCCTGCCATTCACTAGTTATAGATTAGTTAGTACTCATACCCTGCCATTCAATAGTTTACAGATTAGTTAGTACTCATACCCTGCCATTCACTAGTTTATAGATTAGTTAGTAGTCATACCCTGCCATTCACTAGTTTATAGATTAGTTAGTACTCATACCCTGCCATTCAATAGTTTACAGATTAGTTAGTACTCATACCCTGCCATTCACTAGTTTATAGATTAGTTAGTAGTCATACCCTGCCATTCACTAGTTTATAGATTAGTTAGTACTCATACCCTGCCATTCAATAGTTTACAGATTAGTTAGTACTCATACCCTGCCATTCACTAGTTTATAGATTAGTTAGTAGTCATACCCTGCCATTCACTAGTTTATAGATTAGTTAGTAGTCATACCCTGCCATTCACTAGTTTATAGATTAGTTAGTACTCATACCCTGCCATTCAATAGTTTACAGATTAGTTAGTACTCATACCCTGCCATTCACTAGTTTATAGATTAGTTAGTACTCATACCCTGCTATTCACTAGTTTATAGATTAGTTAGTAGTCATACCCTTTGCCAGATGATATGGGTGAGTTGGTAATCACTCCTAACAGTTCCTTCTGTTTTTTAATACACTGGCAAGAGTCATCGTTCAAAAGTCCAAACTCAACCATTAGTTCTTTGTTTTGATGAAAACGATTCTCAATCAACCAAGACTGAAAGCCCATGCTATGCTTTTCCTGTCAGTGTGACTAGATGACAGGGAAGTATTGTCTCCTCTCTGACACAGAGAACAGTCTCTGTCATAATGGCAGTACACAATTAAAGCTTTGTTCCTCTCTTTCTCTCTCTCTCTCTAACTATACACACTGACTGTTGATTGACTGAGACTCTTCTCTCTGTTTAGGTTACAGACACGTGCCTCTACTCAACAAAGAAGGAGACCCCCTTCCCTCATCAAATCTGTTCGTACACATCATGATCATGGATGCCTAACACACTCCCTGTATGAATGTGCCATAATGACCACTGTGACTATCGCCCAGTCCCAAACAGACCTTCAGCCCCTATACCACTACACCCTAGGGCACTAGTGTGGATTTGAAATGATTGGATAGCTGTAAATGCCCTAGGGAGGAGGGGCTAGGGGTTGGTTTGGGATTAGGGCCCTAGGGAGGAGGGGCTAGGGGTTGGTTTGGGATTGGGCCCTAGGGAGGAGGGGCTAGGGGTTGGTTTGGGATTGGGCCCTAGGGAGGCGGGGCTAGGGGTTGGTCTGGGATTGGGCCCTAGGGAGGCGGGGCTAGGGGTTGGTCTGGGATTGGGCCCTAGGGAGGCGGGGTTAAGGGTTGGTCTGTATGAAAAAAAGCGTTGATAAGAGCGTCTGCTAAATGACTAAAATGTAAATGTAAAATGTCTGGGATTGGGCCCTAGGGAGGCGGGGTTAGGGGTTGGCCTGGGCCCAGAGGACGTCCTCCGTTATTGCGTCACGACTCCGGAATCCAGCTGCGGATTTTAGTTGTTTTTACTTGGGCATTTCTTTTTTTGTAAAACAATTATAATTAGTTTATCATATAGGCAATACGATTATTTGTAACAGTAGAACTCCATTTGAGCTTTTTGTTTAGGTATTTTGGGGAATTGTGACAAATGAACAAGTTTATCAAACCACATCCCAGGGATTGTGCAAACCATAGTTTTTGTATGCTAGGTATTATTATAGTGTTAAACAACTTTAATTTGGGATTGTTGTATTTTTTTTCTACTGCCTCTTTTCACGTCCACCATTTTATTTTCAGTGTTGTAAAATCTTTTTATTTAAATCAAGGTATTCAAATGATAATTTTAGGAGAATTCATTGAATTAACACTATTTGAAACCAACAAACCGAGACCAGAGAAAATACTTTTTTTACAAAGAAGCACTTAGATGTTTCAGCTTTTACAGTTTTTTTTATGAATCAAGATCCACATTGTATCTGTGATGTCAACCAACAGTAATATATACATGTTTAATTTGTTCAGGGAATATGCGATCTCTGATCAATTAAGAGAACAAAATGAATTGTCTGTGTCTGCGTTGTCCGTTGGTGTCAGTAATTCACAGTATGAGTAGTTAAATATATGTACTACTTACGAGCAGGGTGGGAAATGAACACTACAAATGAATTAAATATTATATTACTTCCTGTGTCCGTGGGTAATGTAAGTATTAGGTGATGTAGAGGCAGACACCACTGACACTAGTAGTAATCCCCCCCCCCCAAACTAGTCAGGGTACGGACTCTACAAGGTGTCAAAACCGTTCCACAGGGATGCTGGCACATGTTGATTCCAATGCTTCCCAGTTGTATCAAGTTGGCTGGATAACCTTTGGGTGGTGGACCATTCTTGATACACACAGGAAACGGTTGAGCGTGAAAAACTCCAGCAGCGTTGCAGTTCTTGACACAAACTGGTGCGCCTAGTGCCTATTACAATACCCCGTTCAAAAGCTCTTAAATATTTTTGTCTTGCCCATTCACAAACAGGCCTACACAATCCATATTTCAATGCTTAAAATTACTTCTTAAACCCGTCTCCTCCCCTTCATCTACAGCAGTGGAGGCTGCCGAAGGGAGGACGGCTCATAATAATGGCTGGTACCGGCGCAAATGGAATGGAAACCATGCGTTTGATGTATCTGATACCATTCCAGCCATTACCACGAGCCCGTTCTCCCCAACCTCCTGTGATCTACACTGATTGAAGTGGATTTAACAAGTGACGTCAATAAGGGATCGTAGTGTTCACCTAGATAGTCTGTCATGGAAAGAGCAGGTGTTCATAATGTTTTGTACACTCAGTGTACATTCATAAGGCATCCGTCATTAGAGGAAACCGATTCAACTTGCCAAGGGCTTTATCCACCAATTGAGGGAAAAAGTGCTAAAAAAAGGAATAAAACATGACACCTTTTTTTATTTTCTTAAAAATGTTTTTTTTTTTTTTTTTTTTTTGACAAAGAAGGAAATATACTGTAAAAATATACGCTGTACAGCAATGTCCCTCTCCGACCTGCTGGGGTTTGAGAGACTCGGATGGAGCCACAACAGGGTCTGTATTCAGGTCTCAGAGTAGGAGTGCTGATCTCAGTTTGACCTTTTAAATCCTAAACAAGAGGGGGGACCCTGATCCTGGATCAGCACTAGTACTCTGACACCAAATCCAGGCCCAGATCTCTGTCACTTCAGTCTTCTCTGATGATCCTTTCGCTTCAATTAAACAATGTACCGTCGGTAGCCATACTTTAGCTTTAAAAACTGTGTGGCAATAGATTAAATCACAACTGACAAATCAATATCACAAGTCATGCCTGACGGTATAGGTTAGTAGGGGGCTGGTATGGGCTGGTAGGGGTCGGTATGGGCTGGTAGGGGTTGAAATAAATATGCGGTATGAAGGTATGAGTTGCGATTAACATTTTATTACAATTTAAAGATGGCAAAGAAATGTTGATAGTGTGGGGAGTACAGCGTGAAAACAAAACATGGACACTCAAAAGTAAACCAATTAGAAGAGAAAGGTGGCTTAACAAGAAAACCTGACAAAGAATAACAACTGAACTTCCCCGTGAGTTGAAATCAGAGAAGACTGGTGTTTAAACAATGAGTAAGGTGTGACTGAGTGTGTGAGAGTTTGACTGAGTGCAGTGTGATCTCTGACGTCATACGTACACATAGTCTTCATGTATGTGTGGTAAAAAAAAAAAAAAAAGTCCTCATTGAAAACTTAATTGAATAGATTTGTCACGAATACCTGTTTTCTCAAAGTGCGCTAGAGGTGTTAGTCATCACCTAAGACAGAGCGAGAGGGACGTTACCGTGCTGAGAGAGAAGACTAATGAAAACACCAGCTGGGTAAAAATGGGTAAAGCAACTTTTCAAAACCAAATACTGACAAAAGGGTAACTATAAAAACATCACAATGATATGAAAAACAGTTTCAGAGAGAGAGTTTGTCAGAGAGGTTAAACCCAGTAACACTTTCTATTACACTAAAGGGTATTTCATTGCATTAAAACCAAGTAACATCTTGAAAGCATGACACCCCAATTATCAGCAATAATACACAAGCATTATTATTAAAATGTCCATGCCAACAACCACAGGTTGACAATGTGGTACACACCATGACCCCCATAGGAGCTACCAATAGTCGCCGTAAGGTCCAAACACAGCGTGCCAACCGTTAAAAGCAGCGGGTGACTGTCCCCTACTGCCTCTGAACAGAACATCATTTTCTGTTTCATTTCTCGAACGAATCGCACCGTTCGTCGACACCCCAGCAGGTGATCACGTGACCGCCCTACTGCTTTTAACCGTTGGTCGGGACGTTGCGTTTCTTCCTTGTCTATGACGTCATAGCTAGACTAGATACCTTGGGATTCATGACTGAGAATTGCTTTAAGGCATTATTGCCATGCAAAGGAGTCCTGCGGTCCCTTTAGCAGTGCCCAGAGTGATGCAACAGAACCCTGTATTCACTGTTCCAGACTCCTACACAATGAGATGGGGGAGGGACAGGAGTTTTCCCTAACCTGATCAGAGTTAGGTCAATCAGCTTTTAGTTTCTTTGCATTTCATGTATGGAACAACCTACAGAGTTCCCTACAACAGGATTGGGGACCGCCTTGCTGAGGAATGTGACCGTTTTTCTTGAAAGTATTTGTAATTGTTGTATTTGTATTATATTTTGTAACGTATGTGTATAAAGGGCTCCCTTGTGAAAGAGACCTTGGTCTCAATGGGACTTCCTGTTAAAATAAATGAATACGTCAGGAAAAACTCTGGGCACAAGTTCAGGCCCTAGTAATAGCCAATAACAAAGGGGCCAGAGTATTTCCTGATCAGGTCACACGGTACGGGGAAAAACTCTGCCCTAACACTGACCCAGGTTGAGTGTCCTGAAAGTCATCGCCCATGGTTACAGTACTGTTTCCGTGTGTGTGTGTCCGTCCTCGGGACTCAAGTCAGGCACTGCGGTGAGGAGAAACATGGCACTCTACCCATTAGAATACTGTACAACACCAGGATCGCGTCCCAAATTACACACTAATCCCGATGTAGTGTACTACTTTGGACCATGGGCCCTGGTCAAAAGTAGTGCACTAAATATGGAATAGGGTGCCGTTTGGGACGCAACTCCCCAGATCACTGGAAACAATGAGAGGGATACCATGGCAACAGTGTACCACCGGGGGAGATGGGTAGGGGTTACTGCCTCCTGTAGGATATTTGTTTTGTTTGTTGCAAGACTTAAAATCAGTGTGCAGAAAATAAGATGACTTGCATGCTAGTTAAAAACTAGCAGACTAAAATAATTAAATGGATTGTTAACAAAGTAGGATCCATTCACTTAAAAACATACAACTGAATGCCATTCGTTAACTGGCGAAACTCCTTAAAATAGACTGAGTCGGACCCCTATTTAGATTTTTAACAATTGAAATCGTGTTTGGCAAAAAACGAATAAAGAATTACATAGAAAAATGTTGGCACATATTCAACTATGGTTTGGGATGTTTTTCCAAAATTCGGCCTAATTGCTATGTAGAAAGTTACATATTCCTTTGCTTTTTAAAACAAATTAACAATAATGCACTATTCTACCGTATTGTGAAGACAGAAAGAGAAAATAAAACACTTTTATATGGTGGTAAAAGCAAACTGAATATAACGGAGAGACGTAACCAATATAACGGAGACATGTAACCAATATAACAGAGACATGTAACCAATATAACGGAGAGACATGTAACCAATATAACGGAGAGACATGTAACCAATATAACGGATACATGTAACCATAATAACGGAGACATGTAACCAATATAACGGAGACATGTAACCAATATAACGGAGAGACATGTAACCAATATAACGGAGAGACGTGTAACCAATATAACGAAGACATGTAACCAATATAACGGAGAGACATGTAACCAATATAACGGAGACATGTAACCAATATAACGGAGAGACATGTAACCAATATAACGGAGACATGTAACCAATATAACGGAGACATGTAACCAATATAACAGAGACATGTAACCAATATAACGGAGAGACATGTAACCAATATAACGGAGAGACATGTAACCAATATAACGGAGAGACATGTAACCAATATAACGGAGACATGTAACCAATATAACGGAGAGACATGTAACCAATATAACGGAGAGACATGTAACCAATATAACGGAGAGACATGTAACCAATATAACGGAGACATGTAACCAATATAACGGAGAGAGACATGTAACCAATATAACGGAGAGAGACATGTAACCAATATAACGGAGACATGTAACCAATATAACGGAGACATGTAACCAATATAACGGAGAGACATGTAACCAATATAACGGAGGAGACATGTAACCAATATAACGGAGAGACATGTAACCAATATAACGGAGACATGTAACCAATATAACGGAGAGACATGTAACCAATATAACGGAGAGACATGTAACCAATACAACGGAGACATGTAACCAATATAACGGAGACATGTAACCAATATAACGGAGAGACATGTAACCAATATAACGGAGAGACATGTAACCAATATAACGGAGAGACATGTAACCAATATAACGGAGAGACATGTAACCAATATAACGGAGACATGTAACCAATATAACGGAGACATGTAACCAATATAACGGAGAGACATGTAACCAATATAACGGAGAGACATGTAACCAATATAACGGAGACATGTAACCAATATAACGGAGACATGTAACCAATATAACGGAGACATGTAACCAATATAACAGAGACATGTAACCAATATAACGGAGACATGTAACCAATATAACGGAGAGACATGTAACCAATATAACGGAGAGACATGTAACCAATATAACGGAGAGACATGTAACCAATATAACGGAGACATGTAACCAATATAACAGAGACATGTAACCAATATAACGGAGACATGTAACCAATATAACGGAGAGACATGTAACCAATATAACGGAGACATGTAACCAATATAACGGAGACATGTAACCAATATAACGGAGACATGTAACCAATATAACGGAGAGACATGTAACCAATATAACGGAGAGACATGTAACCAATATAACGGAGACATGTAACCAATATAACGGAGACATGTAACCAATATAACGGAGACATGTAACCAATATAACTGAGACATGTAACCAGCATTCTTATGATAACCTCCCGCTAAAATAACAACAGTGCTTTGTTATAAAGAATAATAGCGTTCTCCATTTTAAAGTATAGACAGAATTCAATAAAATACTGAAGAAGTATTCTGGAAATATGCCATGTACAAAATATCTCCTCATAACCACATTCAAACAAGGCACTTCATTCGGTAAGAAAAGGAACAAATTAAATCACAGTCCTTTCAAACTACCAGAAACAGCCTGATGCATAGCAACATTACAAGGACCTAATACTCAGACTGAATTTATCGGTTATCGTCACAACAAAAACATCTCCACACAAAATATAGATTTTTGGTTAAAAGTAAGCACTTCTCTGCCCGGACAACTCCGCCTCTTAGTCGGTGTCACAATACAAGACTAGGGTTTCTTCCTTGCGTCGACTCTCTCAAACAGATACGCATTCTGCCGCTCCATACACATCTTCTAACCGATGATGTCACAGTCGGGCTTCCTCGTTCCGCCAACCGTGCTCCATGGGAGTTGGAGTATTCTCCACCCTTGACTACAGTGAGCCCACAGCCTCCAGGAGAGGATACCATAGCGGAGAGAGGTGTACTGTTTTTGGGGGTGCTTGGTGTTGGGTTACCCACTACTGTCCACAGTGTGAATCCAGGTCGCCCCCTAGGTTTGGGAAATCTGTCTGAGCCTGAGCGATGGTGTGTCGTTAAAGAGGCAGAGAGAGAGAGAGAGAGAGAGAGAGAGAGAGAGTGAGAGAGAGAGATCAAGGAGGGTGGTGGTGTTATCCTGGCGCTACCTTCCCCGGAGGTCCTGCAACACACCATAGACCTCTTCCTCTCTGCTCAGCCCCTCAAAGAAAGGCAGCAGGTCCTGTAGCTCTGTGTCACTCATATCATCAAACCACGACTGGACCGGTACCTGAGACAGACAGACAGGACAGGACAGGACATGCTGGTTCAAACAGTTGGGCTTACAGGGGTGTACTGCTTTAGTTCCAGGCCTGCACTAACACACCTGATTCACGTAATCAATGTCCAGATCAGCAGCTGATTAGAAGAATCACGCGTGTTAGAGCCGGGCTGCTACAACAAAACCTGGCAAAGTCAGGAGCTTTTAAGGAAGATCATTTGGCCAGTGGCAGGAGAGTTATCTTCTACACACACACACACACACACACACACACGTAACTAGTGAACTCACAGCGTTCTCGGGGTGGAAGATGTAGGAGGCAGGAGAGTTGTCCAGTATGATGACATTACTGAGCTCTCTACCCAGCCTACTCAGGTCTTTAACGTAGTTCCCCCGGTGAAACACACACGACTCCCGGAACAGACGGGCTCGGAACACACCCCACTGGTCCAGAAGATCCGCCACAGGGTCAGCATACTGGACACACAGGGGTCAGAGGTTACAGATCAGAGGTCAGACCGTACAGAGTCAAAGAGGACACTGTACAGAGATGGAAGCAGGAAGCTCTGAAGCTAGCGTGGTACAACTACCACTAGCCTGTACCAGTCTGTTTCCGCTATCAGCTGCCAAACCTGTGGCATGACAAGGAGTGGCATGATGGCACAAACAGACCGGTACCCAGGCTAGACTAGCACATCTTACTTATTTAATGCAGCTGGTTGGTAGTCTCCGTAATGCAGTGAAATCCCACTACTGAGGGATAGGGCACATTGAAAATGGGAGATGCTCATTTACCACACAGTGGACACTTGCCCATCATGCATTAGAGGTTAACAGACAGACGGAGAGCGGCTCAAAGAGATGGACAAGAGGAGGGGGTAGAAAGATATTAACGCAGGAAGAACAGAAGACAGGGGGAGGGAAGGAAGACGGGGGGAGGGAAGGAAGACGGGGGGAGGGAAGGAAGACGGGGGGAGGGAAGGAAGACAGGGGGAGGGAAGGAAGACAGGGGGAGGAAAGGAAGACGGGGGAGGGAAGGAAGACGGGGGGAGGGAAGGAAGACAGGGGGAGGGAAGGAAGACAGGGGGAGGGAAGGAAGACAGGGGGAGGGAAGGAAGACAGGGGGGAGGGAAGGAAGACAGGGGGAGGGAAGGAAGACAGGGGGAGGAGAAGGAAGACAGGGGGGAGGGAGAAGGAAGACAGGGGGGGGAGGGGAGGAAGACAGGGGGAGGGAGGAAGACAGGGGGAGGGGAGGAAGACAGGGGGAGGAAAGGGGAAGACGGGGGAGGGAAGGAAGACGGGGGGAGGGAAGGAAGACAGGGGGAGGGAAGGAAGACAGGGGGAGGGAAGAAGACAGGGGGGAGGGAAGGAAGACGGGGGAGGGAAGGAAGGACAGGGGGGAGAAGGAAGACAGGGGGGGAGGGAAAGGAAGACGGGGGGAGGGAAGGAACGACGGGGGGAGGGAAGGAAGACGGGGGGAGGAAGGAAGACGGGGGGAGGGAGGAAGACAGGGGGAGGAACGGAAGACAGGGGGAGGAACGGAAGACGGGGGGAGGGAAGGAAGACGGGGGGAGGGAAGGAAGACAGGGGGAGGGAAGGAAGACAGGGGGGAGGGAAAGGAAGACAGGGGAGGGAAGGAAGACAGGGGGAGGGAAGGAAGACAGGGGGAGAGAAGGAAGACAGGGGGAGGGGAGGAAGACAGGGGGAGGGAAGGAAGACAGGGGGAGGGGAGGAAGACAGGGGGAGGGAAGGAAGACAGGGGGGAGGGGAGGAAGACAGGGGGGAGGGGAGGAAGACAGGGGGAGGGAAGGAAGACAGGGGGAGGGGAGGAAGACAGGGGGAGGGAAGGAAGACAGGGGAGTAGAAGAAACAGAAACTAAAACAATGAGAACAGACTGGTGATGAAGAGCCATGGAGCCTGTCCCAAATGGTACCCTATTCCCTACAGTGCACTACTACAGTGGGGAGAACACGTATTTGATACACTGCTGATTTTGCAGGTTTTCCTACTTACAAAGCATGTAGAGGTCTGTAATTTTTTATCATAGGTACACTTCAACTGTGAGAGACGGAATCTAAAACAAAAATCCAGAAAATCACATTGTAAGATTTTTAAGTAATTAATTTGCATTTTATTGCATGACATAAGTATTTGATACATCAGAAAAGCAGAACTTAATATTTGGTACAGAAACCTTTGTTTGCAATTACAGAGATCATACGTTTCCTGTAGGTCTTGACCAGGTTTGCACACACTGCAGCAGGGATTTTGGCCCACTCCTCCATACAGACCTTCTCCAGATCCTTCAGGTTTCGGGGCTGTCGCTGGGCAATACGGACTTTCAGCTCCCTCCAAAGATTTTATATCGGGTTCAGGTCTGGAGACTGGCTAGGCCACTCCAGGACCTTGAGATGCTTCTTATGGAGCCACTCCTTAGTTGCCCTGGCTGTGTGTTTCGGGTCGTTGTCATGCTGGAAGACCCAGCCACGACCCATCTTCAATGCTCTTACTGAGGGAAGGAGGTTGTTGGCCAAGATCTCACGATACATGGCCCCATCCATCCTCCCCTCAATACGGTGCAGTCGTCCTGTCCCCTTTGCAGAAAAGCATCCCCAAAGAATGATGTTTCCACCTCCATGCTTCACGGTTGGGATGGTGTTCTTGGGGTTGTACTCATCCTTCTTCTTCCTCCAAACATGGCGAGTGGAGTTTAGACCAAAAAGCTCTATTTTTGTCTCATCAGACCACATGACCTTCTCCCATTCCTCCTCTGGATCATCCAGATGATCATTGGCAAACTTCAGACGGGCCTGGACATGCGCTGGCTTGACCAGGTGCAGTTAATACAGGTAATGAGTGGAGAACAAGAGGGCTTCTTAAAGAAAAACTAACAGGTCTGTGAGAGCCGGAATTCTTACTGGTTGGTAGGTGATCAAATACTTATGTCATGCAATAAAATGCAAATTAATTACTTAAAAATCATACAAATGTGATTTTCTGGATTTTTGTTTTAGATTCCATCTCTCAGAGTTGAAGTGTACCTATGATAAAAATTACAGACCTCTACATGCTTTGTAAGTAGGAAAACCTGCAAAATCGGCAGTGTATCAAATACTTGTTCTCCCCACTGTAGAGTATGTACCCTATTCCCTATAGTGCACTACTAGAGTATGTACCCTATTCCCTATAGTACACTACTAGAGTATGTACCCTATGTGGTCCTCTGTAGCTCAGCTGGTAGAGCACGGCGCTTGTAACGTCAAGGTAGTGGGTTCGATCCCCGGGACCACCCATACACAAAAAAATGTATGCACGCATGACTGTAAGTCGCTTTGGATAAAAGCGTCTGCTAAATGGCATATTATATTATTATTATTATATTCCCTATAGTGCACTACTAGAGTATGTACCCTATTCCCTATAGTGCACTACTAGAGTATGTACCCTATTCCCTATAGTGCACTACTAGAGTATGTACCCTATTCCCTACAGTGCACTACTAGAGTATGTACCCTATTCCCTATAGTGCACTACTAGAGTATGTACCCTATTCCCTATAGTGCACTACTAGAGTATGTACCCTATTCCCTATAGTGCACTACTAGAGTATGTACCCTATTCCCTATAGTGCACTACTAGAGTATGTACCCTATTCCCTATAGTGCACTACTAGAGTATGTACCCTATTCCCTATAGTGCACTACTAGAGTATGTACCCTATTCCCTATAGTGCACTACTAGAGTATGTACCCTATTCCCTATAGTGCACTACTAGAGTATGTACCCTATTCCCTATAGTGCACTACTAGAGTATGTACCCTATTCCCTACAGTGCACTACTAGAGTATGTACCCTATTCCCTATAGTGCACTACTAGAGTATGTACCCTATTCCCTACAGTGCACTACTAGAGTATGTACCCTATTCCCTACAGTGCACTACTAGAGTATGTCAGACAAGTGACGAAGGATTAGAGTTGTTGAAAGTACCTTTGCGAGACTAGCCGTGAAGAGAACGCATTCAAACAGCTCTCCCATCTTCTGCAAGAACTCATCCACATGAGGTCTCTTCAGCACGTACACCTGCAACCACAGATTTATATAGGATCATTAAAAATAAAAAATAAACAGTTTATGTGAGAAGCAGGCATTGGTCAGAAGCCGAAAAAGAAAGGAAATTCACTAACACCACAATGCCTACTCCACCCATGCTCTACCAAGGTTTTCCAGCAAACAGCTTTGACCTACAACAGTAGCTATGTTGGTCTATTGCACTTCAAACAATGTGTGTGCAGGTTGCTTAGGATTCAAACTTTCTCAAACAGCCTAATCACATTCCGGTGTAAAAACCTAATTTCCATGTTTTTTTACACCGGAAGTTGATTAGACAACCTTTTATACAACATTATAATACAACATAACATTATAATACAGCATAACAGCAATACAAGTAAAGTAAAAGTACACAACAATGACAAATGGCAACAGAAATAATGTAGTAATTAGTATTTATTTAATATTCACAGTTGATTTTCCAGAGGGAAGTGAAAAACCAGAAACCCATTTAAGCCAATATGGAGTAAACTGGCAAAAACAAACTTCACTGATCTCTTTTAACAAGACAATCGAGCAAGCTCCTGGAAAATACACCAATAATCAACATGTAGCCAACCCATTAACAATTTCCATACATTATTGACTGTCACATTATGTGGCTCAGAGAGCAAGCAAGGCATGAAGTGACACAAACTGTTCTGTGTTCTGCACCAGCAGAGGACCTGACCTACTTCTCACCCACCCTCGGTGGAAACGACTTGGGATACACCCAAGTAGACAGCACTGGTGCGGCAGATGGGTGGATTCAGGAGGTGGTCATCCAACTGGTCCCCGGGACAACTGTAGTCTTCTCTGATAATATGCAGCGGAAGGTGCCGGAAGTTCCAGTGGAACCAGAAGATGAACAAGTGCATAGAGGGGGTCTGGCGCTCCGCCCATCAGCTGGTGTACACATTTCAGGGAACACCACCCCCCCCCCCCCCCACCCTGCCATTAAGCAGTGTGTCCCTGGGATATACCGTAGCGGTGGAGTGAATCCGACTGATGAGGGCAATGACATACTCCTTGAGAGTTGCTCTCTCCAGTCTCCCACCATTCTCTCCTCCATAGTAGCAAGATATGCGCAGTAGTGTGTACACACACGTACACACCACAGTCCCTGTCCATTGCCACGCAACGATGCTCTTTTAAGAGACCCTTATAATTGAAAATAAGCACACACCATGCTTGCGTGTCAGGATTGAGAAGGGGGGGGGGGGGGGTTTAAAACTACACACGAAAGAATGGTCAAAATGTCTCCTCCATGAAGCGAACCCAGGACCTTCAGATCCCATGGTGGTGACGTTTACGCTACAAACCCTGTCATGAACGCATTTATCTTCACACTATTTCAAATGGACAGCCTTGGTGATGACAGGAAACTTGTGTTGGCCATTCACTCAGTACTGATTGAACATTTATTTATCTTGCTTGGTAAAATGTTTTTTTTTTTTGTTGTTGTCGAAAACAGCTGATGTGTTGAAAATAGTCACATAGCTAACCAAGTTAGCAAGCATGGTATTTTCTATTGACTGCGCAAAGGTCGCGCAAGCAATGATGGTGGTGTTATTTAACCTGGGTGCACCCGCACCCCCCTGGCTACTTTTTACTTGGATGGCGAATTCAGTTTTTCGGGAACACATTGAAAACTAACTTGACACTGTGTTAATCAGTCAGAGCACATTTGGAGTATAGTGACAAGAAGAAAATGTCATTGACAGAGGAGGGAGCGTACTGAATCAACGCATAAGATAAGGGCTGTAAAGTTAGCTAGCTACATTGCTAAACCAGGGGTCACAGATTTTATTTATTTATGTAGAAATATCTTGCTGCGTTTAAACATATATCTAAAATGCTTCTTATTGTAATTTCTGCTTGGCATCAGACTAATTTTGTACTTAAATTGCACTTCTCCACTTGGATGAGAATTCACGAACGGGCATTCTATCCGCAGACTCTCTCGGATTAACTTCAAGCAAAACATTAGGAAATGTAGCTGGCTACATACTTTCTATAATAAACATTAGAAAGATTGATGGCCATGAATCGTTTTTGCAAAAAAATACCTTGCTTTATCATTGTAAGCTCATTTACTTGTGTGGCTGCTAGCCAAATAGAGTTGCACTTCTGTTGTCATCTGATGAATACCAAGCTATTTTCGGCCGAATGTGTTGCACTAATATATCTTTTGATAAGGAAAATTATAGTTCCACGCCCCTAATCACTCTATTGAAGCAAAAACACACTGTTGACTTTCCATATAAAACACAGGTGAATGGGTTTAAAACGCAGATTTCTTGATGGTCTGCGATTTGAAAATGGCTTGTAGCTTACATTACTTGCTAACCTTAGTTGGCTAGCTAACTGCCAATAGCAGCCAAGGACGTTCGCCATCTTATTTGTGCTTATTTGTTTGTGCTCTGATTACACGCAAGTGTCAAGGCCAACCGTTTACACAGATGACTTCAGCCATGTGAAAAACTTTCCATAGCAGAATATAGCTAGCTTCCTTTGCTTGTACCTTGCCTCTCATCCGACTGGCGTTAGCTAGCTACTAGCACTGTTGCTGCGCAACCCAAGTGCTTTGGTCCGGTTTCAGAACTCTGAGATTTGGCTGAAAATATGTTAGCGTTGTCAGAAAATCTACAAAAAGGTAGCCCATTGTTGGTTCTTAATGGCCAGAAATAAGCACTTGAGTGATAAATTATACATTTAAATCAAAACTATTGCACCTACAAACTTATTCAGTCCGAAAGATGGCAAGTCTAATGGTCAGTTTATGGACGCTGTGGGCTCGTTCTTATCCAACGCCTAAATATTGAGTTAGGTTGGAGCAAGAAATAACAACCCTGTTAAAAATCCGGTATGTGGTTCTCGGTAATGGCCGGACAGCTCATGACGAGAGGCAGGGAGTGTGTTGTGTACCTCCAATCCGATAAAAATGTGCCAATCAACTTTTGAGATTTTTAAAAAATCCACATTGCTGTCATATTGGCTTAGATATGATGGTAGGGAGATTTGAATTAAACATTGAGCTTCAACCAATGCCATACTATGACACCTACAACCAGTGATTTATATAGGATCATATAACTGAAACCAGAGTCAGAATTACAACAAGCACTGATCACACACACACATTAATCAACAATCAGACAGCCATCCTCTTCTCTTTCCCAGACCAGTAGCAGTAGCCGACACCCAGTACAAGTAATCATGGATAGGCCAACCAGGATACACACAGCCTATCCTGGATTACTTGAACTGGGTCACGACCTCTCTCCTCCTCTTCTTCTTCTGAAGGAGTTCAACTCAGAGGAACTGGGAGCAACAGTGGAACATTTGGTCGGGGTTTTGAAAGACTTGTGAAAATATAACTTTTTTTAATTTGGCTTCTATAAAAGCAAAACGGGTCATTTCGGACAACACTGTTGGAGACACTAATGATTCCAGTGTACATAATCAAATAACCAGTTGCTTTAAAAAGTGAATTAAGACAGATAGAGTAGTGATCCCGACCAGTACCCTTGAATGAACTGTTTCCCATCTATCCTCCACTTGGGACGATGAAGTCAGCGAGTGGCTAATGGAGCTGTAGATGATGAGAGCTAAACAAACGTGTTAGCCAGTGTGTCCCAGAAACCGTTCACAACCGGCTGTGCAATGACAAACAGTCCACACAGCAGGGGAGGAGCCTTGTATGTTCCTAAGGCAAAACTCATTTCGGAAAGGAACATATCCCTTATATCCTCCATTTTTCAAACAAATCCCTGTTCCCCGTACCTTGTCTTTCCATTCTCTCCACTATGACGAAAGCAGCAGCTGTAAAGACCTAAAACCGGTTACGCAAAGATCTCTGTATCCCAGACCGCTCACACGTGTCATCAGTCCACAGACAGAAGGAGCTACTGACTAACATGGACAAACACCCTCAGTCTGGACCTCTCAAATGACACTCATCTCTTGCTTTAACTTAACTGGGACAGAACAGTCCCTCTTCTGTTTGAACTCTTGGACAAACATCTCCTTCTTTTGCTCTTTAACATGACAAACCTGTCTCTTCTGCTGTTACTTCACTGGGACGAAAAGTCTCTACATACGTTTGACTCTCTAACATGAAGGACAGAACAGTCTTAACTGGTTTGACTCTCTAAAACATGGGACAAAGCAGTCCTACAGGGTGGACTCTCTAACATGGGACAGAACAGTCTGCTAACGCTTCGAGCCCTAACAGGGATCACCGAACAGTTCTCTACTCTGTGACTCTAACATGGGACGAACTCTCTACTGCGTTGACTCTCAACATGGGACAGAACAGTCCTACTGCGTGACTCTCTAACATGGGACAGAACAGTCTTCTACTGCTGTTGACTCTAACATGGGACAGAACATCTCTACTTGCTGTTGACTCTCTAACATGGGACAGAACAGTCTCTACACGCTGTTGACTCTCTAACATGGGACAGAACAGTCTCTACTGCTGTTTGACTCTAACATGGGACAGAACAGTCTCTACTGCTGTTGACTCTAACATGGGACAGAACAGTCTCTACTGTTGACCTCTAACATGGGACAGAACAGTCTCTACTGCTGTTGACTCTCTAACATGGGACAGAACAGTCTCTACTGCTGTTGACTCTCTAACATGGACAGAACATCTCTACTGCTGGTTGACTCTCTAACATGGGACAGAACATTCTCTACTGCTGTTGACTCTCTAACATGGGACAGAACAGTCTCTAACTTGCTGTTGACTCTCTAACATGGGACAGAACAGTCTCTACTTGCTGTTGACTCTCTAACATGGGACAGAACAGTCTCTACTGCTGTTGACTCTCTAACATGGACAGAACAGTCTCTACTGCGGTTGACTCTCTAACATGGGACAGAACAGTCTCTACTGCGGTTGACTCTCTAACATGGGACAGAACAGTCTCTACTGCTGTTGACTCTAACATGGGACAGAACATCTACTACTGCTGTTGACTCTCAACATGGGACAGAACAGTCTCTACTGCTGTTGACTCTCTAACATGAGACAGAACAGTCTCTACTGCTGTTGACTCTCTAACATGGGACAGAACAGTCTCTACTGCTGTTGACTCTCTAACATGGGACAGAACAGTCTCTACTGCTGTTGACTCTCTAACATGGGACAGAACAGTCTCTACTGCTGTTGACTCTCAACATGGGACAGAACAGTCTCTACTGCTGTTGACTCTCTAACATGGGACAGAACAGTCTCTACTGCTGTTGACTCTCTAACATGGGACAGAACAGTCTCTACTGCTGTTGACTCTAACATGGGACAGAACAGTCTCTACTGCTGTTGACTCTAACATGGGACAGAACAGTCTCTACTGCTGTTGACTCTCTAACATGGGACAGAACAGTCTCTACTGCTGTTGACTCTAACATGGGACAGAACAGTCTCTACTGCTGTTGACTCTAACATGGGACAGAACAGTCTCTACTGCTGTTGACTCTAACATGGGACAGAACAGTCTACTGCTGTTGCTCTAACATGGGACAGAACAGTCTCTACTGCTGTTGACTCTCTAACATGGGACAGAACAGTCTCTACTGCGTGTTGACCTCTCTAACATGGGACAGAACAGTCTCTACTGCTGTTGACTCTCTAACATGGGACAGAACATGTGTCTACATGGACAGAACAGTCTCTACTGCTGTTGACTCTCTAACATGGGACAGAACAGTCTCTACATTGGGACAGAACAGTCTCTACTGCTGTTGACTCTCTAACATGGGACAGAACAGTCTACATGGACAGAACAGTCTCTACTGCTGTTGACTCCTACATGGACAACATGTCTAAGGACAGAACAGTCTCTACTGCTGTTGACTCTCTAACATGGGACAGAACAGTGTCTACATGGGACAGAACAGTCTCTACTGCTGTTGACTCTCTAACATGGGACAGAACAGTGCTCTACATGGACAGAACAGTCTCTACTGCTGTTGACTCTCTACATGACAGAACATTCTACATGGGACAGAACAGTCTCTACTGCTGTTGACTCTCTAACATGGGACAGAACAGTCTCTACATGGACAGAACATCTCTACTGCTGTTGACTCTCTAACATGGGACAGAACATCTCTACTGGGACAGACAGTCTCTACTGCTGTTGACTCTCTAACATGGGACAGAACAGTTCTCTACTACAATGGGACAGAACAGTCTCCCTCTACTGCTGTTGACTCTCTAACATGGGACAGAACAGTCTCTACATGGGACAGAACAGTCTCTACTGCGTTGACTCTCTAACATGGGACAGAACAGTCTCTACATGGGACAGAACAGTCTCTACTGCTGTTGACTCTCTAACATGGGACAGAACAGTCTCTACTGCTGTTGACTCTCTAACATGGGACAGAACAGTCTCTACATGGGACAGAACAGTCTCTACTGCTGTTGACTCTCTAACATGGGACAGAACAGTCTACATGGGACAGAACAGTCTCTACTGCTGTTGACTCTCTAACATGGGACAGAACAGTCTCTACATGGGACAGAACAGTCTCTACTGCGGTTGACTCTCTAACATGGGACAGAACAGTCTCTACATGGGACAGAACAGTCTCTACTGCTGTTGACTCTCTAACATGGGACAGAACAGTCTCTACTGCTTTGACTCTCTAACATGGGACAGAACAGTCTCTACATGGGACAGAACAGTCTCTACTGCTGTTGACTCTCTAACATGGGACAGAACAGTCTCTACATGGGACAGAACAGTCTCTACTGCAGTTGACTCTCTAACATGGGACAGAACAGTCTCTACATGGGACAGAACAGTCCTCTACTGGCTGTTGACTCTCTAACATGGGGGACAGAACAGTCCTACTAGTACCTGCGGTTGACTCTCTAACATGGGACAGAACAGTCTCTACTGGCTGTTGACTCTCTAACATGGGACAGAAGTGTCTCTACTGCGGTTGACTCTCTAACATGGGACAGAACAGTCTCTACTGCTGTTGACTCTCTAACATGGGACAGAACAGTCTCTACTGCTGTTGACTCTCTAACATGGGACAGAACAGTCTCTACTGCGGTTGACTCTCTAACATGGGACAGAACAGTCGCTACTGCGGTTGACTCTCTAACATGGGACAGAACAGTCTCTACTGGCGTTGACTCTCTAACATGAGACAGAACAGTCTCTACTTGCTGTTGACTCTCTAACATGGGACAGAGTCGTCTCTACTGCGGTTGACTCTTAACATGGGACAGAACAGTCTCTACTGCTGTTGACTCTCTACATGGACAGAACATTCTTACTGCTGTTGACTCTAACATGAGGACAGAACAGTCTCTACTGCTGTTGACTCTCTAACATGGGACAGAACAGTCCTCTACTGCTGTTGACTCTCAACATGGGACAGAACAGTCTCTACTGCTGGTTGACTCTAACATGAGACAGAACAGTCTCTACTGCTGTTGACTCTCTAACATGGGACAGAACAGTCCCTCTACTGCTGTTGACTCTCTAAACATGGGACAGAACAGTCTCTACTGCTGTTGACTCTCTAACATGGAGACAGAACAGTCTCTACTGCTGTTGACTCTCTAACATGGGACAGAACAGTCTCTACTGCTGTTGACTCTAACATGAGACAGAACAGTCTCTACTGCTGTTGACTCTCTAACATGGGACAGAACAGTCTCTACTGCTGTTGACTCTCTAACATGGGACCAGAACAGTCTCTACTGCTGTTGACTCTCTAACATGGGACAGAACAGTCTCTACTGCTGTTGACTCTCTAACATGGGACAGAACAGTCTCTATCTGCTGGTTGACCTCTAACATGGGACAGAACAGTCTCTACTGCTGTTGACTCTCAACATGGACAGAACAGTCGCTACTGCGGTTGACTCTCTAACATGGGACAGAACAGTCTCTACTGCGTTGACTCTAACATGGACAGAACAGTCGCTACTGCGGTTGACTCTCTAACATGGGACAGAACAGTCGCTACTGCGGTTGACTCTCTAACATGGGACAGAACAGTCTCTACTGCTGTTGACTCTATAACATGGGACAGAACAGTCTCTACTGCGTTGACTCTCTAACATGGGACAGAACAGTCGCTACTGCTGTTGACTCTAACATGGACAGAACAGTCTCTACTGCGTTGACTCTCTAACATGGGACAGAACAGTCTCTACTGCTGTTGACTCTCTAACATGGGACAGAACAGTCTCTACTGCTGTTGACTCTCTAACATGGGACAGAACAGTCTCTACTGCTGTTGACTCTAACATGGACAGAACAGTCTCTACTGCTGTTGACTCTCTAACATGGGACAGAACAGTCTCTACTGCTGTTGACTCTCAACATGGACAGAACAGTCTCTACTGCTGTTGACTCTCTAACATGGGACAGAACAGTCTCTACTGCTGTTTGACTCTCTAACATGGGACAGAACAGTCTCTACTGCTGTTGACTCTTTAACATGGGACAGAACAGTCTCTACTGCTGTTGACTCTCTAACATGGGACAGAACAGTCTCTACTGCTGTTGACTCTACATGGACAGAACAGTCTCTACTGCTGTTGACTCTAACATGGGACAGAACAGTCTCTACTGCTGTTGACTCTCTAACATGGGACAGAACAGTCTCTACTGCTGTTGACTCTCTAACATGGGACAGAACAGTCTCTACTGCTGTTGACTCTCTAACATGGGACAGAACAGTCTCTACTGCTGTTGACTAAACCTGAGGACAGAACAGCTCTACTGCTTTCTGTTGAATCTCTAAACATGGGACAGAACAAGTCCTCTACTGCTGTTTGACTCTCTAACATGGGACAGAACAGTCTCTACTGATGTTTGACCTCTCTAACATGGGACAGAACAGTCTCTACTGCTGTCGACTCTCTAACATGGGACAGAACAGTGTCTACTGCGTTGACTCTAAACATGGGACAGAACAGTCTCTACTGCTGTTGGACTCCTAACATGGGAACAGAAAACAGTCTCTGACTGCTGTTGACTCTTCTAACATGGGACAGAACAGTGTCGAACTGCGGTTGACTCTAAACATGGGCAGAAAGTCCTCACTGCTGTTGACTCCTAACATGGGACAGAACAGTCTCTACTGCTGTTGACCTCTCTAACATGGGGACAGAACGTGTCTATGCGGTTGACTCTAACATGGGACAGAACAGTCTCTACTGCTGTTGACTCTATAACATGGGACAGAACAGTCTCTACTGTGACCGAAAGCCATTTGCATGGATCTAAGAGGATACTTTTCTGAGTCTCCTTATCTACCTGTCAGTGCACTAACTAGTAGCTACCTTTAAATTACTTTTTTTCCAGAACAGGTAAATGGTGACGCTCTCTGTGTTGTTTATCTACAGCTCAGACTGCTTTAAGTGATGAGAGATAAGTGCTTTTTGTGGTCGGTTCGGTTCAATTATAAATAAAAAAATTATCACGGTTTTCAATTTCGGTTTCAATTATTTGGTTTGAATGTTGTAACAACACAGAATAAAACAATTAATAAAAGTCCCATGATGGTAGTGACTGCCCATTACTGCTTATCACTTATTAACCATCAATTATTCACATCACTTTATATATTTCAGTTGTTGTGTATATTACATTTGTTTTATTTGATGACTTCATTATTTCATTCCAAGTCATCTCATCTCTATAGAGCTGCTGCCTATGTTGTCAGATAAAATCACTGTTTAGTAGTTCTTCAAAGTAAATAAGGCATACATTTATGACTGCTGAATACCAAATATCCATCACTTTGTATTTTCAGGTAGAGATACCTTGTGTAGGAACAGCTGCTCTCTACATCACCTGACGATCACGCATTCTACTCTCTTCTGTAGCAGGCGGTAAAAAACAACAACACAGAACGGACAAGTAGATGTGCAATGGATTGTGGTCATTGTAGTTAATTACCATGTTTTAATGCGCTAAACTATGTAGAATATTGGCCTGTTGGAAACTACAACTCCCTACTAAATCGCACAGTTCAGGCTTGATCTGATTCATCTCTAGAGAAAATCTGCAATGTGCACATTGAGCTCTCAGAAGAAAAAAAAATACATTTGATTTTAAATAATCGAAACGGAAGTCTGTCAATTAGTTGTTTAGAAACCTGAAAAATAACCGACATTTCGGTTAATGGCTCAGAACTAAGTGCTTTACAAACACACCGTTTGTAGTGTGTGTGTATGCCTTCATGATGCCAATGAACAGAATGAGAGAAGCAGATCTCGGGGAACTGAAAGTAAACATGACACAGTTCTACACCATGTAGGCTAAGTGTCTACATTATGACAAAAGGCAAGATGAGCCTCGTTCAACATACTAGAAAGGCTGATGAGGGGAGAATTAAAAAGTGGGAATCATCTGTTTGCCAACATTACAACAACAAAGAAGTTACTAAACATCTAACCCCTACCCTTTTTTCTTATCGGACATCATTACACACGCGATAAAAGAGCACAATATGTAGTGCAAATTTTTCCCCCCCCAGCTTGGCAACAAAAGTTAGAGGCATTTTACCTTGAACGAGCCGAGTACCAAGTTCGACTTTATGGTCTCAGAGGGTTTTGAAGCAATAATCTAACATAAGACATGAAAACTGTACATTGATAATACCCAGCCTACCAGGGTTTAATTTTTTTTTTACCTTGAATGAGCTGTGTACCAATGTCTCATCCAAGTCGATCACTACACACTTCTTCCCATAGTCTGATATGTTCATCTCTGGTAGGAGGAATTTGGCTGGAGGCTGAAGGAGAGAGAGAGAGAGAAGAGATTATATGTTAGAGAGCGAGGTAGAGAGAGAGAGAGGGGAGAGACGAGGTAGAGAGAGAGAGAGAGAGAGAGAGGGGGAGAGAAAGAGAGAGAGGAGACAGAGCGAGACGAGAGAGAGAGAGAGGGAGAGAGAGAGAAGAGAGAGAGTATAGAGAGAGAGATATATGAGGAGATGAGAGAGAGAGCAGAGACAGGAGAGTATAGGGAGGAGATAGAGAGCGAGGTAGAGAGAGAGAAGAGGAAGAGATACGATAATCGATACGCTTGTGATAGTTGAGAAGTGAGATTAGAGGAGACTATCAGAGATATAAAGATCTTTTATCATTATCATATACCTACTTTAGAGATATCTATCTCCAGATTCGCGTGGTATTCGCCTCTATCTCTATATCGCAGAGCTCTAGTTTAGATGAGATCCCTCTCTCTGCTCGGTCTTCCCCTCTCTCGTCATCCTCTCTGTATCTCTCCTCAGCTGCTTTCTCTCCTCCCGCTCGAAGGCTCTCTTTCTCGCTTTTCTCTCTCCGGCTTCGGCCCCGGGAGATCAGTTACGGGCATCTCTCGAGAGGGGGGGTCTAATCCTGAGAGTTGTTCCGTATGAGGAACTCCTCCCCTCCCTCTCTACTCGGTTCTCTCTCTAGTCGGGAGATGTATAATGATCGATTCTTCAGAGAATATTCAACACATAGAGATATCATTAGTTAATGTGTGATTAGCAGCCCAGTATAAATAGTGAGTCTGATGTTTCCCATGAAGAAGGAAGAACGGAGAGAAACATGAACACTAGCGCTAGCTAACACTGTGGAACTGTCTGTGGTTCTCTCTTTTGCACAGATCGGGTCTACATCAAAACAGAACCAACAACACTCCGAGGACTGAAGCTACCCAACAACACTCCGAGGACTGAAGCTACCCAACAACACTCCGAGGACTGAAGCTACCCAACAACACTCCGAGGACTGAAGCTACCCATCCCTGCATGGAGTGCATTCTCTCCTGGCATCACCTCAGAACAGGAATCCCCTCCTCATCTCTGTCCTTCCCTCTCAACACCAACCCAGTGTAATATAGTGTGTTTAATCCCTCCAGTCTAATCTGAAGAGATTAAAGTTAACCATTTTCACACATTCTGACAGACAGTAACAGGTCATGTTGCGGTCAATCATTACAGACAGCCTGCGTCCCATTTAAAAAAAAAATGTTTTATTATTCCCGATACAGGGCACTACTTTTAACCAGGGAATAGGGTGCAATTTGTGACGCAACCAGACTGACAGGCAGGACCACTTTCCAGGAAATCACTTTCTGTCGTTCACAGGAACACAGACTATATTAACACCAGATCACTGTCGCCAACTGCAATTTCCTGCATGGACCTGAAGTGATATTAAATGGAAGCCATGATGGTGCTAGTGAGAGATGGACATGCAGCAGATCTACCCTAATCCATTTAAAAAGGTAACAGGAGATGATCATATACAGTGGCTTGCGAAAGTATTCACCCCCCTTGGCATTTTTCCTATTTTGTTGCCTTACAACCTGGAATTAAAATTGATTTTTTTGGGGGGGTTGTATCATTTGATTTACACAACATGCCTACCACTTTTAAGATGCAAAATATTTTTTGTGTGTGAAACTAACAAGAAATCATTTTTAAAAAACTGAAAACTTGAGCGTGCATAACTATTCACCTACTTTGTAGAGCCACCTTTTGCTGCAATTACAGCTGCAAGTCTCTTGGGGTATGTCTCTATAAGCTTGGCACATCTAGCCACTGGCATCTATGCCCATTCTTCAAGGCAAAACTGCTCCAGCTCCTTCAAGCTGGATGGGTTCCGCTGGTGTACAGCAATCATAGTCATACCACAGATTCTCAATTGGATTGAGGTCTGGGCTTTGACTAGGCCATTCCAAGACATTTAAATGTTGCCCCTTAAACCACTCGAGTGTTGCTTTAGCAGTATGCTTAGGGTCATTGTCCTGCTGGAAGGTGAACCTCCGTCCCAGTCTCAAATCTATGGAAGACTGAAACAGGTTTCCCTCAAGAATTTCCCTGTATTTAGCGCCATCCATCATTCATTCAATTCTGACCAGTTTCCCAGTCCCTGCCAATGAAAAACATCCCCACAGCATGATGCTGCCACCACCATGCTTCACTGTGGGGATGGTGTTCTCGGGGTGATGAGAGGTGTTGGGTTTGCGCCAGACATAGTGTTTTCCTTGATGGCCAAAAAGCTTAATTTTAGTCTCATCTGACCAGAGTACCTTCTTCCATATGTTTGGGGAGTCTCCCACATGCCTTTTGGCAAACACCAAAATTGTTTCCTTATTTTTTTCTTTAAGCAATGGCTTTTTTCTGGCCACTCTTCCGTAAAGCCCAGCTCTGTGGAGTGTACGTCTTAAAGTGGTCCTTTGGACAGATACTCCAATCTCCGCTGTGGAGCTTTGCAGCTCCTTCAGGGTTATCTTTGGTCTCTGTTGCCTCACTGATTAATGCCCTCCTTACCTGGTCCGTGAGTTTTGGTGGGCGGCCCTCTCTTGGCAGGTTTGTTGTGGTGCCATATTCTTAATAATGGCTTTAATGGTGCTCCGTGGGATGTTCAAAGTGTCGGATATTTTTTTTATATTTCTCCAGAACTTTGTCCCTGACCTGTTTGGAGAGCTCCTTGGTCTCCATGGTGCCGCTTGCTTGGTGGTGCCCCTTGCTTAGTGGTGTTGCAGACTCTGGCGCCTTTCAGAACAGGTGTGTATATATACTGAGATCATGTGACAGATCATGTGACATTTAGATTGCACACAGGTGGACTTTATTTAACTAATTATGTGACTTCTGAAGTTAATTGGTGGCACCAGATTTTATTTAGGGGCTTCATAGCAAAGGGGGTGAATACATATGCACGCACCACTTTTCCGTTAATTATTTTAACGTTTTATTTAAAGTTTTTATTAAATTTTCTCACTTCACCAATTTGGACTATTTTGTGTACGTCCATTACATGAAATCCAAATAAAAATAAAATTGAAATGACAGGTTGTAATGCAACAAAATAGGAAAAAACGCCAAGGGGGAATTAATACTTTTTGCAAGGCACTGTACAGTGAACAGTGGCCACTGCAACTAGTACCATCTGTTCCCTGCCTTGAGGCCGAAGCTGAATCTATGTTTAATGGGCTTTAGGCTCAGACACAGACAGTGGTAGGCGATCTAGCCAGTGTTTATCTTAGTAACTAGATAACAAGCTCTCCTTTAATACCCTATATTAGCTTAATGGGATCAATCACATCCTACTCTCCATGAGAGCAGAAGGCTATGGCCGCATCCCAAATAGCACCGTATTCCCTATGTAATGGACAGGGCTCTAGTCAAAAGTAGTGCACTATGTAGAGAATAGGGTGCTATTTGGGATGTAGCCCGTAGACTACAAGAACCAATAGGATTGAAGCCCCTCACAGAGTAAGCCTATGTCTGCAAGACAAATCGGGGCAACTTTTTCATAGTGCAAAAGCAATGTATTAGGTGCAGAATGTAGCATAAACCTCATTGTAGGCAGACAGCAGGACTTAAATGACAATTTCCTTCTTGTGCCTTAAAAAGAAGCAAACATGTCGCCCCTACAGCTACATTTATTGTTCCTTGTCAAGACGTGTTCCAAGAGGCCATAGTGGATTCTTCTAGTAAAGGCGGTCTTGGCTGCGAATTGACATTCTACATAATTGATGGGCAGGATGTCTAGGAGGTTCAGTTACGCTGTTTACCTAGAGAGCGTCTCATTCTGGTCCCAACAGATTATTACGTTGTCTGTCTGTTAAACCAAATGAAGACAACTCATTAGAGCAATACAAGAGAAGTAGTAGAAACTCAACACGTCGCTAACTGGCTTTAGAAGAAATGGAGGAAGATAGATCACACTAGATTGGTCAGGCTGGCAGTTAGTGTTGTTAGGAAGTTTTCAAAAGGCAACCAAACCACTGTATCACTCATGCAGGCGATCCCAATTAGCTTGAACACTGTTTGATTGTTTACAAACACCTTAAATTATGCCCACCACCACGCAAAATTCTGATATAAGAGGACTTCAGTCCCAGAGCTAGGACTGCACAATATAGCCAATAAAATCGAATTGCGAATTGCGTAACAAATATTGCAATTTTACTTGCGATTCTAGATCAAAACACTTGGGTAAACTGTTGCAATCATAGAAATAGAACGATCGTTCTAATTTTATGGTTGGAATACAGTGGGCACTTGGAATGCAGTTTTGTTGGCATGACAACGGAAGTAAGGGAGGAGATGGTTGTGACAGAGTAGGAACCAAAGTGTTGGTCAGTGTTTCCCATCGGACCCTAATTAGATTTAAATAGATAGGTACATTCATGCAACTATTTTAGAATATTCTTTGCCTCTCTGATTAAGAACAAGCTGTTGCACAAACAATGCTGATATACCCCACCACTGGTACCGGCCTGTATTAGAGAAAAAGTTTGCTAGCAAGATTTGCTCCATCTCAGTGGATTTCGCTAACCAGCTAGCTAGCGATTAGCATTAGGGGCTAACCCACATTTTTTGGGCATATTTGCAGCTTAATATCGCAATTTCTATTAAAATTGGATTAATCGTGCAGCCCTACGTACAGCCAAGACATTCAGAGCAGCACTGATTCTCACAGATACAGAGCCGAATCTTAGACTTGAGATCTATGCCTATAAGTCACATTTTCACTTATATCTCATTGACAGCAATGAATGACTTAATGATTTACACGATAGTCAATAGTCAGAGTTAGAATCACAGATCTCAAGTTGTTTCATGCAGACGGATCTCAAGTTACGATTCAGCCATTTAAGGACACATGCAGAAGGAAAGATAAATAGTGATACATACACTAAGGATAGGAATAACCTCGACCTGGTCAAACTAGACACCAGAGGAGGAGAGAGAGAGAGGAGAGAGAGAGAGGAGAGATGACGGAGGAGAGGAGAGGAGAGAGAGAGAGAGAGAGAGAGAGACAGACGGAGCGAGACAGACAGAGAGAGAGAGACACAGACGGAGCGAGAGAGAGACACAGACGGAGCAAGAGAGAGACAGAGAGAGAGAGGCACAGACGGAGCGAGAGACACAGACGGAGCGAGAGAGAGACAGAGACAGACGGAGCAAGAGAGAGAGAGACACAGACGGAGCGAGAGAGAGACAGAGAGAGAGACAAACGGAGCGAGAGAGAGAGAAACGGAGCGAGAGAGAGACACAGGCGGCGCGAGAGAGAGACAGAGAGAGAGACACAGAGCGAGAGAGAGAGACACAGACGGAGCGAGAGAGAGACAGACAGAGACAGATCGAGAGACACAGAGAGACAGAAAGAGAGTGAGAGAGCACGTCACAAACATGGAAACATAACAGTCAATGTTGAAACAGATTTTCTGGAGTTCTTCAAAGACACTTATCTTCTTCATTGTTTATCTGCCGCCTAGAAGTAGTGTGTGTGTGTGTGTGTGTGTGTGTGTGTGTGTGTGTGTGTGTGTGTGTGTGTGTGTGTGTGTGTGTGTGTGTGTACAGTACCAGTCAAAAGTTTGGACACACCTAATCATATTTTTACTATTTTCTACATTGTAGAATAATAGTGAAGACATCAAAACTATGAAATACCATATATGGAATCATGTAGCAACCAAAAAAAAGTGTTAAACAAACCAAAATATATTTTATATTTGAGATTCTTCAAAGTAGCCACCCTTTGCCTTGATGACAGCTTTGCACACTTGGCATTCTCTCAACCAGCTTCAACTGGAATGCTTTTCCAACAGTCTTGAAGGAGTTCCCACATATGCTGAGCACTTGTTGGCTGCTTTTCCTTCACTCTGCGGTCCGAATCATCCCAAACCATCTCAATTGGGTTGAGGTTGGGGGATTGTGGAGGCCAGGTCATCTGATGCAGCACTC